CAGGTGTTGCTGTAGCCTATACCCTCGTACAGGCTCACAGGTGTTGCTGCGGCCTACGCCCCCCCCCCGTACAGGCTCACAGGTGTTGCTGTAGCCTATACCCCCGTACAGGCTCACAGGTGTTGCTGCGGCCTACGCCCCCCCCCGTACAGGCTCACAGGTGTTGCTGCGGCTAACGCCCCCCCCCCCCGTACAGGCTCACAGGTGTTGATGTAGCCTATACCCTCGTACAGGCTCACAGGTGTTGCTGTAGCCTATACCCCCGTACAGGCTCACAGGTGTTCATGTAGCCTATACCCTCGTACAGGCTCACAGGTGTTGCTGTAGCCTATACCCCCGTACAGGCTCACAGGTGTTGCTGTAGCCTATACCCCCGTACAGGCTCACAGGTGTGCATGATGCCTATACCCCGTACAGGCTCACAGGTGTTTGCTGTAGCCTATACCCCCGTACAGGCTCACAGGTGCGCCTGTAGCCTATACCCCCGTACAGGCTCACAGGTGTTGATGTAGCCTATACCCCCGTACAGGCTCACAGGTGTTGATGCAGCCTATACCCCCGTACAGGCTCACAGGTGTTGCTGTAGCCTATACCCCCGTACAGGCTCACAGGTGCGCCTGTAGCCTATACCCCCGTACAGGCTCACAGGTGTTCATGATGCCTATACCCCCGTACAGGCTCACAGGTGTTGATGCAGCCTATACCCCCGTACAGGCTCACAGGTGTTGATGTAGCCTATACCCCCGTACAGGCTCACAGGTGTTCATGTAGCCTATACCCCCGTACAGGCTCACAGGTGTTGCTGTAGCCTATACCCCCGTACAGGCTCACAGGTGTTGATGTAGCCTATACCCCCGTACAGGCTCACAGGTGTTGCTGTAGCCTATACCCCCGTACAGGCTCACAGGTGTTGCTGTAGCCTATACCCCCGTACAGGCTCACAGGTGCGCCTGTAGCCTATACCCCCGTACAGGCTCACAGGTGTTGATGTACCCTATACCCCCGTACAGGCTCACAGGTGTTCATGTAGCCTATACCCCCGTACAGGCTCACAGGTGTTGATGTACCCTATACCCCCGTACAGGCTCACAGGTGTTCATGTAGCCTATACCCCCGTACAGGTCACAGGTGCGCCTGTAGCCTATACCCCCGTACAGGCTCACAGGTGTTGCTGTAGCCTATACCCCCGTACAGGCTCACAGGTGTTGCTGTAGCCTATACCCCCGTACAGGCTCACAGGTGTTGCTGTAGCCTATACCCCCGTACAGGCTCACAGGTGCTCCTGTAGCCTATACCCCCGTACAGGCTCACAGGTGTTGATGTAGCCTATACCCCCGTACAGGCTCACAGGTGTTGATGTAGCCTATACCCCCGTACAGGCTCACAGGTGTTGCTGTAGCCTATACCCCCGTACAGGCTCACAGGTGTTGCTGTAGCCTATACCCCCGTACAGGCTCACAGGTGTTGATGTAGCCTATACCCCCGTACAGGCTCACAGGTGTTGCTGTAGCCTATACCCCCGTACAGGCTCACAGGTGCGCCTGCAGCCTGAGCCTACCAAGGGTTAACACACAGGGAGGGAGTAGAGCTTTACATGACCCTGAGAATTACCTTCTGATTTACCTGTAGTGGGTGTTGACCTGTGGCTTGCTGTGGTGAGTGAGAGGGAGAGAGAGAGAGAGGGAGGGAGAGAGAGAGAGGGAGGGGGAGAGAGAGGGGGAGGGGGGGGGAGAGAGAGGGAGGGGGAGAGAGGGAGGGAGGGAGAGGGAGAGGAGAGGGAGAGGGAGAGGGAGAGGGGAGAGGGAGAGAGAGAGTGGAGGGAGGGAGGGAGAGAGAGGGAGGGGGAGGAGAGAGAGAGGGAGGGAGAGGGAGAGGGAGAGAGAGAGAGGGAGGGAGAGAGAGGAGAGGGGGAGGGGGAGGAGAAGGGGAGGGGGGAGGAGAGAGAGACAACACAGAGATATATCAACAGGTGGGCCCCGGCGTGTGGTGGTCGTGTCCACGAATACATTAACCACACTTCTTTAAAACAAATGATGTTACTCCGCCACTCTCTCTCTCTCCTCTCTCCTCTCTCCCCTTCTCTCTCTCTCTCTCGCTCTCCATCTCTCTCCTCTCTCTCTCTCTCTCTCTCTCTCCCCTCTCTCTCTCTCTCTCGCTCTCTCTCTCTCTCTCCCTCTCTCTCTCTCTCTCTCTCTCTCTCTCTCCTCTCCCTCTCTCTCTCTCTCTCTCTCTCTCTCTCTCTCTCCTCTCTCTCTCTCTCTCTCTCGCTCTCTCTCTCTCTCCCTCTCTCTCTCGCTCTCTCTCTCTCGCTCTCTCCTCCTCTCGCTCTCTCTCTCTCGCTCTCTCTCTCTCTCGCTCTACCTGCAGGTGGGTGACCAGGTACACATGTAGTGGCCTGTTGGTGGGTTTGTACACTTTAAGGTAAGGTGGGTAAGAGTGGGGTGGGCAGGGGGGGGGGGAGGGGCAGATATAGGTCTAAGGGGGAAGATTCACGAAAGCACTTACGCAAACACTTACGAACCTGTACATCTTTTGTCAATCTTTGACGGCTTTGTTTACAATTATTAAACAGTTAATGAGCTCCGAAGCACCAGGAGGCTGTTTATAACAATAACAACAGTTGAATGGGAAGTTTTCATGCTTGTAAACTGTTTAATAAATGTAACCAAAGCCGTCAAAGATTGAGGAAAGATGTACACATTCGTAAGTGCTTGCGTAAGTGCTTTCGTGAATCTGGACCCTGGACATAATAATTTACACGTGGAAAATAATTGAGGGGCTGGTCCCAAACCTGCACACAGAAATAACACCACATGAGACCAGAAGACATGGCAGGATGTGCAGAATACCCCCGTTGAAAAGCAGAGGTGCAACAGGTACTCTGAGAGAGAACTCTATCAACATCAGAGGCCCGAGACTGTTCAACAACGAAGAAGTCTGGACAAGGACCGGGCCGCGGGGACGTTAAGCCCCGAAATCATCTCAAGGTAACCTCAAAGATATAAGTAGGTGGGGGAGGAGGTGGTGGGGTAAAAACAGGTGGGCGGGGGAGAGCAAGTGTGGTGGACAGGTGGGGAGATGGGTGGACTGGTGGGGAGATGGGTGGACTGGTGGGGAGATGGGTGGGGAGATGGGTGGACTGGTGGGGAGATGGGTGGACTGGTGGGGAGATGGGTGGACAGGTGGGGAGATGGGTGGACTGGTGGGGAGATGGGTGGACTGGTGGGAGATGGGTGGACTGGTGGGGAGATGGGTGGACTGGTGGGGAGATGGGTGGACTGGTGGGGAGATGGGTGGACTGGTGGGGAGATGGGTGGACTGGTGGGGAGATGGGTGGACTGGTGGGGAGATGGGTGGACTGGTGGGGAGATGGGTGGACTGGTGGGGAGATGGGTGGACTGGTGGGGAGATGGGTGGACTGGTGGGGAGATGGGTGGGACTGGTGGGGAGATGGGTGGACTGGTGGGGAGATGGGTGGACTGGTGGGGAGATGGGTGGACTGGTGGGGAGATGGGTGGACTGGTGGGGAGATGGGTGGACTGGTGGGAGATGGGTGGACTGGTGGGGAGATGGGTGGACTGGTGGGGAGATGGGTGGACTGGTGGGGAGATGGGTGGACTGGTGGGGAGATGGGTGGACTGGTGGGGAGATGGGTGGACAGGTGGGGGATGGTGGTGGGCAGATTCAGGTGGGGATGGGCAGGTAGTGAAGCAACTATCCTCCTCCTTCCTGCCCTTCCTGCTCCTCTTATACCCCCTCCCCCTCCTCCTGCCCCCTCCTCATGCCCCCCCCTCCCCCTCTCCCCCCACGGTGGCCGGGGGTGGGGGGGGAGGGTCAATAAGCCACAGTGATCGGTTACCAGCTCCTCACACACCAATTTGTCCAGGCCGTGATTTGCGGCTTTCAAACGATGCCGGCCAGACCCCACGACGCTGCCCCCCCCCCTCCTGCTGGGTCCCTGCTGTAACCTGCTGGGCCCCCTGCTGTAACCTGCTGTAACCTGCTGGGCCCTGCTGGGTCCCTGCTGTAACCTGCTGGGTCCCTGCTGTAACCTGCTGGGTCCCTGCTGTAACCTGCTGGGCCCCCTGCTGTAACATGCTGGGCCCCCTGCTGTAACCTGCTGGGCCCCCTGCTGGGTCCCTGCTGTAACCTGCTGGGCCCCCTGCTGGGTCCCTGCTGTAACCTGCTGGGCCCCCTGCTGTAACCTGGGCCCCCTGCTGGGTCCCTGCTGTAACCTGCTGGGTCCCTGCTGTAACCTGCTGGGCCCCTGCTGGGTCCCTGCTGTAACCTGCTGGGCCCCCTGCTGTAACCTGCTGGGCCCCCTGCTGGGTCCCTGCTGTAACCTGCTGGGCCCCCTGCTGTAACCTGCTGGCCCCCTGCTGTAACCTGCTGGGCCCCCTGCTGGGTCCCTGCTGTAACCTGCTGGGTCCCTGCTGTAACCTGCTGGGCCCCCTGCTGGGTCCCTGCTGGGCCCCCTGCTGGGTCCCTGCTGTAACCTGCTGGGCCCCTGCTGTAAACCTGCTGGGCCCCTGCTGGGGGTCCCTGCTGGGTCCCTGCTGTAACCTGCTGGGCCCCCTGCTGGGTCCCTGCTGTAACCTGCTGGGACCCCTGCTGTAACCTGCTGGGCCCCCTGCTGGGTCCCTGCTGTAACCTGCTGGGTCCCTGTTGTAACCTGCTGGGCGCCCCTGCTGTAACCTGCTGGGCGCCCCTGCTGTAACCTGCTGGGCCACTGCTGTAACCTGCTGGTCCCCCTGCTGGGCGTCCCTGCTGTAACCTGCTGGGCCCCCTGCTGTAACCTGGTCCCCCTGCTGGGTCCCTGCTGTAAACCTGCTGGGTCCCTGCTGTAACCTGCTGTTCCCCCTGCTGGGCGCCCATGCTGTAACCTGCTAGGCCCCCTGCTGTAACCTGCTGGGCCCCTGCTGGGTCCCCTGCTGTAACCTGCTGGGTCCCCTGCTGTAACCTGCTGGGCCCCCTGCTGTAACCTGCTGGGCCCCCTGCTGTAACCTGCTGGGCCCCTGCTGTAACCTGCTGGGCCCCCTGCTGTAACCTGCTGGGCCCCCTGCTGTAACCTGCTGGGCCCCCTGCTGTAACCTGCTGGGCACCCCCTGCTGTAACCTGCTGGGTCCCCTGCTGTAACCTGCTGGGTCCCCTGCTGTAACCTGCTGGGTCCCCTGCTGTAACCTGCTGGGCACCCCGTGCTGTAACCTGCTGGGCCCCCTGCTGTAACCTGCTGGGCACCCCCTGCTGTAACCTGCTGGGCCCCCTGCTGTAACCTGCTGGGCCCCTGCTGTAACCTGCTGGGCCCCCTGCTGTAACCTGCTGGGCCCCCTGCTGTAACCTGCTGGGCCCCCTGCTGTAACCTGCTGGGCCCCCTGCTGTAGCCTGCTGGGACCCCTGCTGTAACCTGCTGGGGCCCCTGCTGTAACCTGCGGGGCCCCTGCTGTTCCTTTGCTGTAACCTGCTGTTCCCCTGCTGTTCCCCTGCTGGGCCCTTCCTGTAACCTGCTGTTTCCCTGCTGTAACCTGCTGTTTCCCTGCTGTAACCTGCTGTTTCCCTGCTGTAACCTGCTGTTTCCCTGCTGTAACCTGCTGTTTCCCTGCTGTTTCCCTGCTGTAACCTGCTGTTCCCTGCTGTAAACCTGCTGTTTCCCTGCTGTAACTGCTGTTTCCCTGCTGTAACCTGCTGTTTCCCTACTGTAACCTGCTGTTTCCCTGCTGTAACCTGCTGTTTCCCTGCTGTAACCTGCTGTTTCCCTGCTGTAACCTGCTGTTTCCCTGCTGTAACCTGCTGTTTCCCTGCTGTAACCTGCTGTTTCCCTGCTGTAACCTGCTGTTTCCCTGCTGTAACCTGCTGTTCCCCTGCTGTTTCCCTGCTGTAACCTGCTGTTACCCTGCTGTAACCTGCTGTTACCCTGCTGTAACCTGCTGTTTCCCTGCTGTAACCTGCTGTTACCCTGCTGTAACCTGCTGTTTCCCTGCTGTAACCTGCTGTTACCCTGCTGTAACCTGCTGTTACCCTGCTGTAACCTGCTGTTTCCCTGCTGTAACCTGCTGTTTCCCTGCTGTAACCTGCTGTTTCCCTGCTGTAGCCTGCTATTTCCCTGCTGTAACCTGCTGTTCCCCTGCTTCAACCAGCTGTCTACGTGCTGTAATCTGTTCTCCTGCTATAATCTTTATGTAACCTGCTGTAACGCGCTGTTCCCTTGCTGTAACGCGCTGTTCCCTTGCTGTAACGCGCAGTTCTACTGCTGAGCCTTGCTACAGCGCTCTGCCAATCACGTCTCACCGTTGTAATTCGCTGTAACCTGTATCTGGCTTTTTATGTTGCTGTATTCTCTGTAATATGAGCGTTTGAGCTCCCATGATTAAAGTGTTCCTGGCTGGCTGGTTGGCTGGCTGGTTGGCTGGCTGGCTGGCTGGCTGGCTGGCTGGCTGGTTGGCTGGTTGGCTGGTTGTCTGGCTGGCTAACTGGCTGGCTGGCTGGCTGGCTGGCTGGCTGGCTGGTTGGCTGGCTGGTTGGCTGGCTGGTTGGCTGGCTGGCTGGCTGGCTGGCTGGCTGGTTGGCTGGTTGTCTGGCTGGCTAACTGGCTGGCTGGCTGGCTTACTGGCTGGTTGGCTTACTGGCTGGCTGGCTTACTGGCTGGCTGGCTGGCTTACTGTCTGGCTTACTGTGTGGCTTACTGGCTGGCTTACTGTGTGGCTTACTGTGTGGCTTACTGTGTGGCTTGCTGGCTGGCTTACTGTGTGGCTTGCTGGCTGGCTTACTGTGGGCTTACTGGCTGGCTGGCTGGCTTACTGTGTGGCTTACTGGCTGGCTGGCTTACTGGCTGGCTTACTGGCTGGCTGGCTTACTGTGTGGCTTACTGTGTGGCTTGCTGACTGGCTTACTGGCTGACTGGCTTACTGTGTGGCTTACTGTCTGGCTTACTGTGTGGGTTGCTGACTGGCTTACTGGCTGACTGGCTTACTGTGTGGCTTACTGGCTGGCTGGCTTACTGTGTGGCTTACTGGCTGGCTAACTGGCTGGCTGCCTTACTGGCTGGCTGGCTGGCTGGCTGGCTGGCTAACTGGCTAACTGGCTGGGTGGCTGGCTGGCTAACTGGCTAACTGGCTGGCTGGCTGGCTGACTGGCTAACTGGCTGGCTGATTGGCTGGCTGGCTGGCTGGCTGGCAGGCTGGCTGGCTGGCTGACTGGCTGGCTGTCATGCTTCCATTTTTCTCCTTAATTTCATCTCTTTACATTTTAATGTTCGGATGACAGTCCTTGTCTGGCGATGCTCTTTCCTTTCGTCAAATTATATATAAATATATATGTTGTACCTAATAGCCAGAACGCTGTTCTTGGCCTACTATGCAAGCCCTGATTTGCCTAATAAGCCAAGTTTTCCCAAATTTCTGTTTTTCTAATTTTTTTCTTATGAAATGATAGAGCTATCCATTTCATTATGTATGAGTTAATTTTGCTAAATTTGAGTTACAACTAACGTAGATACATGACCGA